CCTAATTAAACCCCTCCCAAGTACCCCCCCCCCCCCCACACACACACACACACACACACGCGCACACACGCACCCACTTTAAATCCTCTTCTTCGGCGCACACCATTGAAAAAACACGCCGTCTTTCTTCCGCACGCACGCAGACTCCTCTGGAGGAGATCGCGCTAAACATGCTCTGCGGGGCTCGGCTCGTGTAAGAGCGGCGAGGTTCAGCGGGGGCATCCTTTCATCCATCCGTCAATCCTTGGCATCCAGACGCTCGGGGCGACCGCGGATGTGCGCGCTGAACAGCTGCAGAAGTCGCGTCTGAAAGCGGGTCGCGAAGGAGCCAGCATCCGCGCGCTTTCGACTCCCCCGGAGCACCGCGAGGAAGGCGCCCAGCCAGCAGCATCCTTGCATCTCTCCCCCGGCTGTCCTTGCGTCGCGGCGAGGCTAATCGGAGCGCCGAGGACGTCCTTCGTTCCGTAAAGCGCCTTATATCGGGTAAGAGAGTACTATGCATGCCTTCAGATTTTCTCGGGGGGAGGCTTGGAATTGTCCACTGTGACTTGTTTCTGCGGCCAATTGGAGCTGAAACATTCGCACGCACTCATGCACGTAGAGGGCATGAAAAGGGTTCTTCAAAAGAACCCTTTTGTTTGGTTTAGGAAGCGTGGTCTTGATTTTTTTGATGAATGATCTTAAAGCTGAATGCACATGGCCAGCACAAAGAGCATCACTTTCATATCATGTATGATTTGTGACTTTTGAAATGCAGCAGTATAGCCAAGTGCAAATCATACCAGGATTACTGGAATATTCGTCTTATTTATTTATTTGTACTTTTTTTTTAACATTCTTTCCTTGTCGGAGTGATTTCATGATGTCACTTTGGGTTCGGCTGGAGTTAGGTCACACCCTGAAAGTCCGTTTTATGAGAGCATCCTCCAAGCTCTCCTTCCGTCTCTCGCCTCCTGCTTGCCGATTGGCAGAGCTGGCAACCACATCCGTGAATTAAGTCAACAGAGGACCGTCGGAGTGAGGATGCTAATTATCACCTGTCACTTAGACGCTCTCGATACCAGCTCGAGCCGGGATAACGAGGATGAGCTCACACGAGCGGAAAACTGAGAGGAGGCAACTGTCCTCTGAGGTTAACTGTTTTCTTTCAAATATTCCAAAGTTTGAATCGGATAGCCACTCGATGTTGATCTCCATGCGCAATGTGCTCACGGAAAATTCACCTTTACTCTCATTTGTTAAAACATTATGTTAATTATTCAAGATTGTTTCACGGAAAATTCACCTTTACTCTCATTAATTTGTTAAAACATTATGTTAATTATTCAAGATTGTTGTCAGTCTGTTTGTTAAAACAGACTCTTCTTGTCTTAACATCGTCTTCAAAACCAATTCGCCTTTTACATTACCTGTGAAAGCCTGCATTTCCCACTTTTTTTTTGGCAGGGGGGTCAGAAATTGTTTTTTTTTTTTTAGAATAAAGAAATAGAAAACTATTCAAGGTTCCACGATATAATTGTAAGTCAACCCTGAAGGGAATTGATGGGAAGAGGTTTTAGGTTTTCGTGTGCATCATTCAATAGTGCCTACCTGAGGGAAGGAGCCGAAGAGGTGGTGACCAGGATGTTGAGGGTCCGAGAGAATTCTGCCTGCTCTTCTCTTGGTTTTTGCAGCATGCAAGTCCCCAAGAGTGGGTAATACGGGAACAATGATTATTTCCAGCAATCCTCACCGTCCACTGCGGTTTGTTGTGGTGGCACCAAAGCAGACTCTGAAGATGGAACACAGGACCGATTCAATGATTGATGTATGAAACCAAACCAAACCAAATAACTGTTCGTATTCTTGGTTCTTTGTCAAGACTGCTTTCAAATTTGCCGTCTCTCTGTGTTTCAAAGAAGCTAAAAATAAGCGTGGAAGGTGTGGTATCACGTGGTCAGCCATCCAATGGAGACGCGTTCCAAATGTGGTGTTTCAGATTCTCATTGGTTGTTCGGCTACATTCTGGTGTTGTACAAAAGGCGTCAGTTGGAGTCACCAGGTGGTTGAAAGACAGCTTTGAGAAATTGAATTGGTCCAGACTGAAAAGGAAGGCAGCATTTTGCATTTGAGTGACACTTGTGGGGTTGCCGCAGCCATTTCAGTCTGGCCGGGACTGGATGGGAACCTCTGCTTAGTGGTTGTCTCCGAGAGAGATGCCCGGTAGGTGGCCCGGCAAAAATGATGATTATTACGTTGTCTCACGACTGTAAAAATCAATAGCCAAGTCGCAAGGCTTCCCTTCCTAAGATCCACTCGGACACTTCATAATTCAGCCACGAAGTGGCTGATATGGTTAACTCGCGCCGAAGTGGCACTCATGTGCCAAGAACACGTGCTCGGCGGTGTACTTGGAAAGTGGCACAGTCTGAATTATGCTGCGGATATGGTTTGGCGCCGAGGCTGCGTTTAGCTTGCATGTGCTAATCTAGTTGTTACATAAGACAGTAAGTGTGTGCCGGATCGCTTCTCCGTCAGTCACACGCATACACACACACACACACACAAAAACGGTCACTGCGCATCCTTTCATGTTTTTGTGTATAATTGGCATGGTTTGAGGTTAAACCCTGCAGCCAAGGGGAATTGAAGTCAGGCTCGACAGGCAAGAGACTCGGGATTTTCCTCATATTGACCTTGATGCTGCTGGGAACTCCCGGCAGCATCAGTGCTCCCCTCCAGACCCCCAACCCCATGTCAGCAAGTCTGCAGAAAGTCACTTTGAAATGAAGGTTTGTGTTTTGGTTGTTCCAGTCGCATTTCTATCCACCAATCGATGGACAGCGTGCGTATCTCCACCCGTTAGGTATCGTACCACCCGACAGAGGGCTGTTCAAAAGAAACGCCCATTTGTCTTTTTAGCGACAGGATGCTGCCAAAGCGCTGTCTGAATGGGAAAGAAGTACAGCAACGGTTAGCAAAGTAGTTTGCTGACGTGAGGTGGACGAGCCACAAAGCTGGTGACATCAGCGCAGCGTCATCAGTACACGCAACTACTTTTACCCACAATTCTACACGCCGAGGAGGCAATGTTGGGGGCTGGAAAAAAAAATCCAAACAAACAAATAAAGCAATTGGCCCAGGGGAGGTTGGTCACAAGCTCGAAGGTTTCATCATGAAACTAGTGAGAATCAGAGAGGATTTAAAAGAGTAATTCCTCCCCCATGTGACTGTTTTCATCTGTTCATCTGCAGAGAGAAGGGGGATGCGTTGATGCCGGGGTCTGTGCGTTGCCCCCATGCACGCTTTCGGCTTTATAATCTCTTCTGATCCGACTTTGGGGAGGGGCCAGGATGTCTCGATAAAGTCTGCGATCAGGCTGAGGAAGCAAATGCGCCGCTGGATGTACGAGGCTCAACTGAAGACTTTGCATGGGTGTGCAGTTATTATATCCCAGTTAGCGCTGTCCCAGAACTCACCTTTAGTCCACACGCTTGGCTCGACAGACAGTCGTAGGCTGCAGTTGGTTCCGGCAGCGGGTGGACCTAGAGCACACAAAAAAGGGCGATGTGGATCGCGTGCTGAAAATGGCTCGGTCTGCGTCCACACGATGTGAAAGGGTCAACAAAGTTTTGGGAGGGGCTCCTGTCAAGTGATGATTTTGGAGATGCAAACATTGTCCCGACGCCAGCAATATTTAGTGGCAGCAACATGAACGATAACGCGGATACATTTCTATTGTAGCATTGCAGAAGCACGCGCGTTCTACTTGTGCAAATGGAAATTTATGGCATGGCGGGTCCAACATGAAAAGAACAAATCCATTTCCCAAGAAACCATTGAGCAAAGTCGTCGACGCGCTTTATTTGCTTGAGAGGATCACTTTCAATGATGTGGCGGGCGGGCCAAAGTGGGTCTGATGCCCCTGTGCTAGATCAAGAACTGAAATTTCATTTGGGGCGATTGGACAATCAACAGTGTTGATGAGCAACGCTGTTGAATGTCGATGAAATAGAATCCAGAAATACAGTTGTGTGCGTCTGTGATAGAATACAGTTGGGCCTGCATTTGGATCAGAATTGGAAGTCACGCACAGGCCTCCTTTCTATTCGAACCGTATCAGGCCTGACTCTTTGATTACAAAGATCAAACTTCAGGGCGAGCGAGCCGCTGAAATTTGAGGCAATCCCATCAAAAAGATGCCGGCTCCAATACCAAATCAAGAACACGGTCACAACACGAGCACTTGCCGAGAGCATCCGCGAGAACAACACATACCAAAGCGATTCGAAAAGAACTAACGGTCGTTTGGACGCTCCGCTCCTGCGGCCACGAGGGACCGAAAGGGCAGCCATTTCCTGACAAAAGATCGACACGCGCTGCCGCTCGTGATGTCAAGCGACAGAAAGAAAAGGCACGTGCCTCGGCCCAAAAGGGCGGACTCAACTCAAACGACACACTCTCTTCTATTTCGATCCGATCTCCAAGTGGCCTCCTTTTCCTTTTCCGCGACATGTCCAACGATTCCTCTCCGTCCATCGATCCATTGTGCGCCCCGCAAGGGAGGGGACTCGTTTCCTCTCCTCCTCTGCAGCGTCACAGCTCCCGCTCTCTTCACTTTGCCTTTCATCTTGGCCCGTGTCCTTTTTAGTCCTCTCCATTTGAAAAGGCTCCCGGCATAAATAAAAGAGTAGTCGAACATCATCCCTTTACGCCAAGAGTTAAGCCATTTCGAGAAGATTGTTGTTGTTCCAATCAGTTAAGGCTCTTTCCAGAAGGGAAGATAAGAATACGCGCTCCGTGCTGTGGCTCTCAGTGGAACGGGCGTATTCAAATGATTTTTATTCCGAACGTCAGCTGCTTTAAAGTGCAGCGCAAATGGACTTGCAATGGGGGTCTGAGTTGTGTGTAAGGACTTGGATGTCGCCAGGTAACAGTATCAAGGAGTAGCAAGAAGAGACTGAAAGGGAATGTTCAAGTCAAACAACAAGAAAATGAATAAATTGCAATCATATTTAAAAGATTAGGGTTAGCTCAGTATGACTTGCATTTAAAGGAAAAAGAATTACAAGAAAAGCTTAATATGAACAAAATCGTCTATCTATCTATCCATCGAAACATACACATTCGTTTTTCTCATACTTCTCATTTCATATACCCAAAAGGAGAGTGACAGCAGAAAATGTTTCAGGTGAAAAATGTCACGATGCTCGAGACAGTTTCCTTTTTTTTTTGTTGCCACGGTGCAACCTCTCACGGTGCTCTCTGAGCCGTTGCAGGCCAATCAAAAGGAGGCAAAAAAAAGACCCAATCAAATGGATGTGGCGTCAGCCGGCTTGGATGCATTTACAAGCTCGTGTCATGACTGCAGACTCATTTCTGTTGGTGACGGAGCAATCGTACTGCAAGTTTTTTATGATCAAAGTCCACCGAAACAGGACTGTGCGATGTCTCTGCTGGATTATCCTGAGTGATAATCCCGTGGTGTGGGGTGTCTTCAGAGTGCTTTTCTCTTCTCTCGATGGCTCTGTGGGCGAGAGGCATTCTTTGGCCGAGGCTCGGGTGATAAATGAGCTACTCTTCTGTAATTTCGGATAGAGCTCTCGAGTTGGATCTCATTCGATTGTGCTCGTGGAGCTGCACAACAGGGGAAAAAAAAATCTTTTTTTCCTCTCTTATGATCAAAGTCCACCGAAGCAGGACTGTGCGATGTCTCTGATGGATTATCCTGAGTGATGATCCCGTGGTGTGGGGTGTCTTCAGAGTGCTTTTCTTTCCCTAAGTCATCTGCTCAGCAAACGCTCGGGATTTTGGAGATATTAAACCTTCTTCATATTTACCGTAGCAAAGTAGACTTGCAATTGTCGACCAAGGTGGCTATTGCTCATGTGTACGTCGCATGCGATAAGTAGTAACGACGCACGTAGCATTTTCCTCATCGTGTGGGCTCCCTCATTATCAAGACGAAAAAAAAAAAAAACATGCCATGCTGTTTTTACACACCGTAATTGTCACACTCCGGGATCAGGAGTCTGGCTGTCGCTTGTAAACACGAGAGCGTATACGCGCGTGGGCGCCCGCCGCTAACCAGGATGTGAGTGATCAGAGGGCCGCAAGCTGTTCCTTCCCGAGGTGTCTCCGCATTGTCGCTTGCGCGTGCAGAAGGCGAAGAGGCGCCATGGCGGGAAGCAGGGAGGGTACCTGCTGCGAGAGACAGAGATGGGCGGGAGAGGAAATGTTTGCAGATTAGAGAAGGGGTTCAAATTTCTGATATCTGGTCGTGCCTAACTTGGAGTCGAACCATTATTTTCGGGGAAAAAAAAAAACAGGCATCTATCTGGTACGTGTACCTGATGTTGTGGACGGTGAGCGTTTCAACTCGCTTTCAGCAGCATCAGGGTGAGGAGAAGAAAAAAAAAAAAGTTGCTAAGCAGCCAAGACATGACACTGGAACTTCACAGGCGAGCCTTCAGGTGCTGAAGGAGGCAGCGGGAGC